ACACACACACACACACACACACACACACACACACACACACACACACACACAGGCATTCCTTCACCCAGCAACAATGAGCTCTTTGTGCTCCACGCTGCCTCTGTTTTCATTTCATTTTTTATTGCTTTTGAACTGGTCTCGTGGAGAATTTAATCATCTCTGCTGGTTCCACCGAGCTTTTCTAAAGCAGCTCTTTTTGTTTGGCTGCTGGTTGTCAGGGAGGCCCACAGCTGCGGTCTGTGTGTTTCTTCACAATAAAAGCCTCCTGACTTCAGCTTTTGTTCTGGAGGCCGGGCGGAGCCGAGGAGGCGGGGCCAAAGCTGACGTCATGTACTCATATCTTTCCACCTGATGGTTTGTTGGCATTCATCCCGACCCGTAACAGGATCCCATCAGAACTGGAACAAAGAGAGTGAAACTCACCCACAGACTGGGCACCCTGCTGGAACCAGAACCTGATCCGGGTTTGGCCAGCCCTCCAGGTGGAGCCAAGAAGAATTCAGCAGAAGTTCAGACAAAAAGAAGGAGATCAAGTGAAACGAAACCAGAAAGTTTCTGCAGGAACGTTCCTCAGACGTCATCAGGTTTCTGTTTTTAAACCTTCAGGAGCTTCTAGAATCAGTTAATCTGCGACAGAGGCAAACTCTTATTTTGAAGAGCAACTGCTTCCTGTTTCCTCTTTGATCTTTTTGCAGTTGCGAGGTGATTTTATAGAAAAATATACAAACTCAAAGCATGCTGGGTAATTTCAACCAGTGATGGAAATCACTTCCTATATTTAATACATCACTTCCTGTATCTAATACATCACTTCCGATTTTTAATACATTACTTTCTGTATTCCATTTTTTTCTGCTTGGACTTCAGAGGAGCAGGACGTGCTTTCGCTCTCTCCTAGCCCCCCGCTTCACTGCTTTTTTTTCACGTACCATCCGAATTATGGATTTAGTCAACTGGTCTCTGAATGCGACACTATTTTTTCCACACTTGGAACGAGGGGAACGTGGCTGTCTGGGTGGAACGGTTGCTGCTGGACTTGTCTGATTCCTGGGGCTGGAATCTGATATGCCAGGACCACTTTCCATCGAAGACGTGGAAGATTTATTTATATATATTTGGATTTTTGACAACTGGATTCCTGCTGATCGACGGAGGAGGGTTCCAGATTTATGGAAAAGTGAAAGCGACCCTGACAGTGGTTCAGGCCTTTGAGGAGCTGTCGGGCGCACTTGAAGGATTCTGCTGGGCTGGAAGCACACAGACTCTCAGGTGGGGAAATAATTCGCCAACTGGATGTAATTCTGACGAGGATCACAGTGCAGGTGAGACCCTCCAGCATGTAAGGATTACATCTGGGT